CTTCTCTCCTAGCTTTCGGTGGTTACTGGCAATCTTTGACGTTTCTTGGCTGGTAGCTACGTTTCTCCAATCTTTGCATCTGTCTTTACATGGCCTTCGTCCCTGTGTGTCCCTGTGTCCACATGTCCTTCTTCTAAGGACACCAGACATTGGATTAGGGCCCATCCTAATCCAGTGTGACCTCATCTTCACTTGATTACATCTGCAAAGACCCTATTTCCAAATGAGGTCACATTCACAGGTTCTAGGTCAGCAGATGAAATGCAGCAGGGTGGGAGGACACGAACATGCAAATCATAGCATAATACATTTATACTATGCTTCAGTTTAAAATGAGCTGGAATCAGACATATTGTTGAGGGGGGGGGGGAAGCAAGTTGCAGAATAAACATGACCCTGCTTTCCACACAGCCTGAACTTCATCAGTGAAGAGGCAGGTAAGCCTGATATGTTCAGACAGCGTGGGGCGTGGGAGGGCGGGGGAGGTGAGAAGCAAGTGAAGACCAAGGTGGGGACAGAGGGAACAGCCAGACCTCTACGGCCTTGTAGTCCACTATAGGACTATGGATTTTATTCGGAGTAAGACAGGAAGTCACTGGAAGTTTTTAAGCAGACGAGGGGATGACATCTGTTTTAAGTTTTAAGAACTGGCTCTTGGTGCTGTGTTGAGAACAGATCCAGAGAGATTCAGAGAGGAAGCAGAAGATGGGGCAACACAGTGCTGCTCAGTCTAGTCTAGGGACTCTGGTGGTGGCGGTGGAGGGTGAGAAGTGGTCAGATCCTGGATTTGGAGCAAACACAACTCAGTGGAGGTGGCACCACTTAGCTCGATGTGAAAGGTAAGGGCAGGAAGCTACTGTAAGGAAGGGCACAACTGGGAATTCCACTAGGGGCTGGTAGGCCTGAGCTGCCTATTAAATGTTCCCGTGCAAACCGTCAAGTGGACAGTCGCATAAAGGAGTGTGGAGCCCATGAGGAGAGGTCAGGCTAGAGGCAGCAGTGTGAGGTCATCGGCACAGAGGTGACACGTAAACTCTCGGGGCTAGACGGGGCGGGAGGGCAGAGCCCTGGGCTGCTCCGACATTCAGAGCAACTGTCAGGGGCTCAGAATCTAGCAGAGGAGAAGGAACAGTAGAAACCACAAAGCAGGAGGAGAAGCTGGGGCGAGGTGTCCTGGGAGACTGGACTCCAGACAAGCAGAGCGCCCACAGGAAAGAAGAGAGGTCAACTGTGTCAAAACAAAGCAACATGGGCTGGTTCCTGGTACCCAGGACACAGGGGCTAAGAGGCACGTCTGCTGTTCTCTAGGACAGTGCTTCTTAAACATAACTGTGCGCACAGATCAAGGGGAACCTGTGGAAGTGCAGTGTCGCCTTCACGGGGTGTGGGGAGGAGCCCGAGGATCTGCGAAGCCCGAGGCCAGTCTGGGGCCACGTTTTAAGTAGCAAGAGTTTAGACCCAAAACCCTGAAAATCAACATAAGCACGGTCATGACTGAGGAATACGGTCGGGGAAAGCTCAGAATATTTCTTTCCACTTTCTTTCCTCTAAACGCAAATGCAGTCCTTCTTTCCACACGGCCCTGTCGCCATTAATTTCTCCCCAGGCAATCTTTTTTTTCCCTCCATTAGGCTGTTGAGGCTTCATGATACCCAGGAGATCTCCACCACGTCTCTAGGAACCAAAGCAGTGAGTCCTAAAGTAAAACGTGAAGTCGATTCATCTAAAGTCTGGATGTCCTCAAACGGGATGTCCCAACAGTATCCCAGCCTTCCAGGAGTGGCCGTGCCATTCCTGTGACACCTAGAACCCTACTCCCCCAAATCTTTGAAGGTTTGGAGGCCATGTTTCTCCTGAATTCATCTCATAGCCCGTTTCTCCACCACTGCGGCTTCCAGATTCGAGTGATTACCTTCCCCTTTTGTCAACCACCTTCACCCACACAACACATGCCATCTCTCATTCCTCCAAAGAACCACTAACACAGGGTTGCTGTGTAGAGCAGACTTTTTTTTTTTAAGGCTTGGAGGTGGCAGGGGTTAATAACAGCACCGAGCAGAAAACGGCTTCAAACTCAATGTCAGGCGTTGCCGTAAGATATCAGCTACTTCCTACCATAGCTTATTTCTCAGCGGTGTGCCCTCTGAGCCCTATGCCCCCAGCTGCCCCCCCCCTCTCTCCCTGACCCCTCTTCACATCTGACCACCCCTGAGCCTTCCATCTTCTTCCCCCCATCCCCCAGCTGCTTCCGTACATTCAGTCCCCCTCCTGCTTTCTTCCCCAGGGCATAGATCCCTCTTGGTCTCTCTCCTCAGCCCCACAGGGGCCTTACCTTCCTCCACAAAGGGCCCCAGCAAGGTGCTCACACTCCTCTGGGTGGGAGCGGCCCTCCCCACATGCGGGCCACCCCAGCGAGCATCTCAGTAGCATTCTGTCCTTCCCGCTACAGAGTCAGAAAAAGATGCTTGCTGCAGTGAATCAGCAAAATGCATGCGGTCAAAACAGTCCAGCCCGGAACCTGTTTCCAAAAAAGCCTATAATTCCAGAGAAGCCAACATCTGCCAATATTTAAGCCAAGTGTCAAAATGATAAACATTTTGCTTAATAGGTCTTCCTGGGGAGAGACTACTGCAAATCTTCACACTTGTTTTTCTTTTCAATTCTTAATACCTCCCCAAAGCACCATTCGTTCACCCTCATCGGTGACCTCTCCCTTCTCTAAAAGAGTTTTCTTTTGCACAGTCCCTCAGAGAGGAGAAGCAAAACAAAATAATCCAATCAGTCATCTCTTAGTAATTTCAAGTGGTGAGCACACAGGTCTCTGGGCTCAGCTCCCAAGGGCACACGCCGTCCCCAGAGATCACTACCTGTGCTTATTTGTCCCAGCCCGGCTGTCTGTCTCCTGGGTACCATGGCCAGGAGGTGCCATAACGTGTCCAAAAATGTCATTTCCCATTTCCCATGTGTAATGGTCTCTGCAGGCCAGCATATCAGAGGCTGGGTCCTGAACCAGTAAATGGCTCCTTATAAATCAGCTCTAATCACATCAGTCCCCTGCTTAACGTCCTTTGACAGCTCCCACTGAGTACAGAATGAAAGTCAGCTCCTCTATGACAGCCAGGGCCTTCCAACGTGGCTCTGGGAGAACTTTCCATGGCCACTGCCCAAAAATTTGAGTCAAGATCAAAAGTGGCACTGCTACATGGACTCATGTTCTACAGCACAGGGACCAAGGAGTTCCAAGTCTAAGGCCCCTGGATTCGTGGGGAACCACACCTTCTTGCCTTTACCAGTGGGAGCCCCCGGGGACCCTTGCACCAAGCATCCTGCCCCCACCCATGCCCACGGCCCTCCTAACCCTCTTCCGCCATACTTGAGACCGCACTCTGTCTTGGTCTCCCACTATATCTCCCCAAATTTTTTCTCAGCCCCGTCCAGCTCCTCTTCCTCTGTTCATCTCCGAGCATTAGTGTCCCTGACTTCAATCTGGGGCCTCTGGTCTTCTAATTGCCTCTCAAACCATCTGTCTAAAGCCCCAGGCTGCACTCCCCCATTTAAAAAACTCCTTCGAGCGTGCTCTCCTAAACCCAAGATAAAGTTTAACACACTCCAGTCCTTCTTCATCTCGTGCCTGCCCACCTCCCAGACCCCTTCCACCCTGTGCTTGGATATTCTGAGCCACCTCTCATTTCTTCTACCAAAGAAAACAAAGTCACGTTCACCCTTAACAGCCTGACGTCCTTGATTCATTTCTAAACCTCTTTGTGCATAGCCGTGTGCGAGTTCCCTGGGTCTGCCGCCAGCTCTGAGCAGAAACCCAGGCAATGTCGGCAGCCTCCCAAATATGTAACACTCAGGGAGTAGTCACGGTGTGCCGAGTACTGTGTTAAGTGCCTGCCTATGAATCACGTTATATTATCCTCATAAAGTAGTTGTTTTACATTATTATTTATAATAACAATATAATAATGTAAGTAATGGCATTTACTGTTACCCCCATTTTATAGTTGAGGGTCCTGAGAGACAGAAATATAAAGAACCTTCCCCAAGATGATGCAGTTACCAAAGGGGGAGATTCAAACCCAGGCAGTCAGCACTCTTCATCACTGTGCAATACTGCATCTTAATAAGAACATTTTAAAGGAACAACCCAAATTATCCACAAGACTCGAGAGCGAGTGACGGTAATTGCTGCCACAGGTCCTTCTGGGCCTGGACGTGAAGACACATGAAAAGAGGGTGAGCCTGGAGCCCAGCTGCGGTGGGCACAAATGAATGAGGCCAGCCTGGACACGGACACGGCTTCCCAGACATGCTAACTTTGCCTGGGTCACTGCGACTGACCTTCTCCTGGGCAGGGCACAAATAACAGGAATGTCAGCCCTTCCACCACGACCCGGGAAGACAGGCCAGGCCCGAACTGACCCGGGGCCAGCGTGGTAGGGTCCAGTTAACACCCACCTCGAGTCCAAAATGAAGGCAGGGGAAGGGCCCTAGTCCAGAAAGGCTAGGCAAGGGGACACCACAAACCCACAGCAGAGCTGAGGTGAGAAGGCAGAACCCCGCAGGCAGCTGGAGCAGAGATTCTGCCTGCCCAGAAAGAGCAGCCTTGGCTAAGGACACTGGTTCCAGCCCACCCAGCGCTCAAGAGAATGAGGAGAAGATGGGGTTGGCACCAGCTACAGGGCACAGCTCCAGAGCACCCATTCGGGGTGACACCCAGCAGCCTTCTCAGGGTCCTGGGACTCTGCCATCAGCCCCACTGTTTGCATTTTAAATACTGTGTGCACAGTAGGTGAGTGGAGCTGGCCCCTGGGGGGGGGAGGGGGGGAAGGAGGAGCATAGGTGAAAGGTTAAGGTCACCTTGCACCCGAGTCTCAAACAGAACTTCCATCCAGCAGCCCATGCTGAGCAGGGACCGGCACCCAGTTTGCTTTCATAACGAAGGAACATTCAAGTGATCTCACTTTCCCTTCAAACAGCCCGAGCCCAGCACTCACCCGCATGGGCTCGTCAGGGAACCCGGGTTTGCTTGGCCTGTCCTGGCGCCGGGATCTCAGGAGCTGTTTGGCCTGCTTTTCGGTCAGAATCGGGGAGGCCCCTGAAAAAGTCAGGACAGGGCCTTAGGGACTCTCGGGGGCACACGAGTTCACAGTGCAAGGCGAATGATTAGCAAGTTCAATTTCAGTCAAAACACTAAAGTTCTTTCACAGGGACCTGTCCCAAAGGACGTGGCATTCCAGAGGGCTCAGAAAGGAACTCTAAATTGTTTCTAATAGGGTTACCTCAGAGCCAATGCTGCACAACAAATATATTTACCTATTGCAATGGCCCATTTATTCATAAGCGGGTGTTAATTTAATATGTTTTTTAAAACATATTTTCTTCAGTTTTCTGGTCAAGGTGTTTCTCATCCCTTAGGTTTGCTTTGGTGGGATTTTTTTTTTAAATCCCCAATACGCTAAATCAAATTAAAGTTGTCATTGGAAGATGCTCAGTAATAAGATTATGTTACACTTCATCATCACACATGGTCCCTCCAAGAAGATATTATGACAATAAAATTATATTAAGTTCTGATAATCACACACAAACGCTAAAAGCTATCAAATAAAAGTCTATCGAATTTTAGTGATCTCATATGAGCTCTAAAAGAAGGCATAGTTGAAGGTTGATGGGCATTTTTGAGAATTCGAGTTCAAATACATTTAAAGATTAAAAAAAAATAGTGTATCCCTAACAATAGCGATTCTGGGAGCCTGCTCTTAGAAATCTAAAGCATGAAATTGTGATACATTATACATTTACATATACTTATACAAATAACATACATCTTATTTGAAATAAAAATATAACTCAGAAACATAAGATAGACTTATTTCAGTTTCTTGCGTCAGCATTGAAATAGGCTGTTTTTGGAGTTAATGCTCACCTGAGAAGAAAGTCAGTAAGGTAAGAAAGATCACGAGCACAAATAATTTCTTCATCCTGCCTTGGTTCCTCTCCTTGTCTGTTGTAGAATGAATCTCCCCCCAGCGAGCCAGCCTACTTGAAGGAAGCCACCGCTGGCCCAAAGCTTGTTTATGCTTTGACTAACAACGCTTACGGTGTTATGCTAAGTACATCTGACTGAGTTTTTAGTGTGACCACAAAAATAGTTTCCTCTGAATTCCTATAAACATCCACCCTGAGGCAGGAAGTTATCCCTTTCTAATTTGACGTTCAGAGCTTGAATTTGAGAAAGCAATATGTGATATTCATTTCACTTAAACAGATAGATAGATATATATATGTACATATACGAGGACATCATCTAGTCATTTATGAGTTTTCATCTGTAGTTTCAGCTTATGTGGCTACTCTTTCACTGAGAAGCAATCATCTTATAGTTGCATATTTTATGACATTTTCCCAGAACCCATTCACCAATCTAATTTGACCTTTCCAATAATTTCAGAGGCAGACAGGGAAATTAGCAAGGGGCATAACAAAGGTGAAAAAAACTTTTTTCAGCCCACTTGGGAGCCAGAAAATTCAGGGTTCGCATCCTGGCTTCACCTCTTTCTAGCAATGTAGCCATCAGTACATCACTTACCCTCCCTGAACTTCAGTTTTCTCTCCTATATAAAGGAGATGACAGTACCTATCTTGTGGGGTGCAATTAGGATGAGGAATAAGATATGAATTGCACGACAACGAGCACTAGTCCCCATTATCCATCTCCATTTTCCAAATGAGGAAGTGAGGTTCAAACAGGTGAAATGTGCCCAAGTTCACACATGATGGATGCTAAAGTCGAGCCGAATTCTTCTGTCTTTAAAGCCTGGTGCTCTTCCCATGTGTCCCGAAAGGGCCTTGTGCAATCTACTGTCAGACTGTGAACAGTCTTACGCCACACGGCAGTCATTTTTACAGACTAAAACCTCAGTAACCTGAAGTGCTTTTACATTCAAATCATCTATCACTATCACATAAAGAAATTATTAAGTGTATTATAAAAATAGGTCTGGGGCCAGCCGAGTGGAGCATTGGTTAAGGGTTCGCTTGGGAGCGCAAGCTCTGAGCAGCAGGGCTGCCGGTTCAGATTCCACATGGGCCAGTGACACTGCCCTCTACAGCTAAGATGGTAACAACAGCTCAACCTGGAGCTGGGCTGCCATGAGTCACTGGCAACAGCATAGGCTGCAGCCCCTGCTGCAGTGGGCTCCCATAAGCTACCATGAGTGACCGCCAGCCAGCATGAGCCGCCGGCAGCCGCCATGAGCAGCGGTCCAATGGTCGGAGACTGACTGCCTCACCTGGGAAGAGCACAATGATAATACCAACATGGGCCAGTGAAGCAACGTTCTCCACAACTAGACTGCAGAACAAAAGGACAGCAACTTGTCTGTTCCCCTTCCCCCAATTCCCCAACGCTGTTCCCTCCCCCAATTCCAATAAAATCTTTAAAAAAAAAAAAAACAGGTCTGGAAGATATGTGACATTTATTTGGGATAAAATTCTCAGTTCAGAGAAGAGATCTGATATTTCTGTGGTCACTTTGCCAGTTCAAAAAACAAAAACCAAACAATACCCTATCTGTAGTTTTCTGAGTTTATGCTAATGTTGTGTAACTGATATTAAACCTAAGTGTTCTGCCCACTCTTTTGGTATAAAGATAGTCTGAACAGATTGTAAACAAGAAAAAATATCATGCATTGTTAACAAAGTTGCCTAGTATACGAATTTGCCCAAAAGTAGATGTTTGGTTTTATGTATTCTGTCACGATTAACATCCTTCTGTTTTTATATAGTTTTCCTATAGTCCCTCCTACAGTTTTCAATAACTTAGTAATTTTAGGAGCACTATTTTAGGAACATACGTTTGTCACATTAAACATCTTGTGCATTTTTTTTATGTGCATTGTCAGCTTGTTCATTTCTTTTGCTTTTTGTGGCTGGATCAAACATAACTGTATTGTTTTGTTATATTAAATAAACATCTGTGAATCAGAATGTTTTCTATGATATTTTATTTAACATTTAATATCCAAAATATTATTAGTTTAACATGTAATCAAGATAAACAAATTATTAATGAGATATTTTACATTCTTTTTTTTTTTTTGTACCAAGTCTTCAAAATCTGGTATTTTCCATTTACATATTTCAAGTGCTCAGTAGCTACCTGGGGCTCGTTGCACCATATTGACTGGTGTGGGTCTAGATCCTTCCTTCTCTATTACCACCACTGCAATCTAGGCTACTGTGACCTCTCATTCAGCTTCCTGCACCAGGCTCCCAACTGGTCTCCCAGCTTCCCTCCGTGTTTGCTTCAATCCATTCTCCACGCAACAGCAATGATGATCTTAAAATAGAAATATAAAATATCAATTGGACCTCATCACTTCCCCGCTTAAGAATTCTTCTTTATCTTCCCACTGGATATCAACAAAATCAGAATTCTTACCATGCACCATAGGACCCTGTGTTATCTATGCCCGCTGCCCTTTCCAACCCCACTGGGACCACTCCCCTCCAGCTCACTCCAACCTAGTCACACTTACTTTCAACTTAACAAGCTCTCTCCCACCTCAGGACCTTTGCACGTGCTCTTCCTCCTTCTTTTAATGACTAGAACCTTCTCATCCTTCAGGCTTTCAATTTGAAATTTCTCTTGCTCGGGCAAGTCTGACTTTACTGGCCTACTTCAGGAAGGTTCTCTGCACCCCACCACTATTACTGTCTGCTAACCATAATGTGTAAATACTGTATTTCTTTACATTTTAAAATCTGTCTCCTTCACTGCACTGTAAGCTCTAAGTAAGCTTGTATTACTTTTATAATTTAAAAAGGGGTGGGGGTGGGAAGGAACCTCTGGTAGACTGGAAAGTTACTCCCAGAGAATGTCAGGGGTCTGTATCCCAACCTGGGATGCTGGCTCAGGGTCTCAGGTGGAGAAGGCCCTTCAGGTGTGATACTGGCAGGACCATCCAAACGCCCTTCAGCTGTCCCCGGAGACTATTGGAAAACTGAAAGAGCAAGGTCACCTTGTTGTGAGTGTTACTCTGGTAGAGAGAATTCTCTTTTATCCTCTACCTTCCTTCCCAGGGAAAGCAGCCCCGAGACCAATTAGGTGAGTCAACAGGGGCTCACAGTTGAAGACGCAATTCCCAAAAAATCCACAAGGTGGCAGAGTAAAGAGAAGAACCAGGGACAATCAAGGACAGGAGAAAGAAACAAGGCCACCAAGGTTTACCCTAGAAGTTGCCAGGAGCTCCAGGAAATCCATTGAAAGTGAAAAGAGATGGTGCCTATGACTAATTTCCTACGATTCTAATTGATTTGAAGGTCTTCATTGGACACTGGAGCCTAGGAAAGCTGCATTACCAATATGAGAGTTGAGAATATATAAAAGAATGCCACCACCATATTCATAGCACCCTAACACAACTAGTATTTTCATTCGCATGGGTTTCCCATCCTTTTTGAAATTCTCAAATGGCACAGCTGTTTAAAGATCAGTGATAAAGCTGACATCACTGAGCTCTCAGTATCATCACACTGGATATTCTTTTTAAAAGGACAAGACAGTAATTTCAAATTCCGTGAGGTAGAGAAACTTCAGGGACAAGGGAACATCTTTTTTTTTAACTACAGAAAGATGTTGAATTAGTCCCAAGAGATGTATGTGTCCACAGTCTTTAGGCCCAGAGTCAATTAAATAAATTCTAACATCCCTTTTCGTAGTTGTTTTCATCTTTTTTATTAGCTGCCTCTCCCACTAGACTATAAACTCTATATGTTTACAATGTACATACAATTCTTTTATGATTTTTATAATAGTAACTCCATAAACTGCACCTCACACATACACACATTCATTCACAAGCACACTGTGCACACAACTGTTAGGTTTGGGCAGGTGTGGTAGACTTTGCGTTCTTGCCCCTTGACCTTGGGCTCAACCAAGTGACTTGCTTTAAACAATGGGATGGTGGCAGACCATGCACAAACAGGAGTATGAAGTGTGTTTGTACAATTAGGTGGGCCCTCTTGTATTTCTGCCATTGCTACCAAAAGAGCTCCCCCAAGATAGCTGCTGGCCTTCAAGCTGAGTCTCAGAATTAACTCACATGGAAAGTACCTACGGGCCGGCCGAGTGGCACATTGGTTGGGAGTTGGCTTGGCACGCCAGCTCTGAACAGCAGGGCCCCAGTTCAGATCCCACATGAGGGCCACTGACGCTGCGCCCTCTACAGCTAAGACGGTGAACAACAACTCGACCTGGAGTTGGGCTGCTGTGAGCTGTTGGCAACGGCGTAGGCTGCAGTGGGGCTGGCTGGCAGTGGGCATGTGCTTTCGTGAGCCGCCGTGAGCGGCCATCCAATGGCCAGCGAGCGACTGGCTCAGCCGGGAAGAGCGCAATGATAATACCAACATGGGCCAGTGAAGCGGCATCCTCCACAACTAGACTGAAGAACAAAAGGACAGCAACTTGTCTGTTCCCCTTCCCTGATTCCCCCCCCAAAAAAAGTACCTGTACAAGGAACCAAGTCTACTCAGATGTTCAGTGCACAGTAGACCCACTCGACCCAGCCCTGACTAGCTCAGCTGGCCCCCAGCTACCACCGCCTGAAACAAAGCCACCACCAGCCTGCAGATCCCTGAGATTAAATCATTGTTATTTTAAGCCACGGAGTCTAGGAGTGGTTTGTTACACAGCATTACTCTGACTACAGCTAACTGACACAAGAGGGTTCCACCAGGATGGTTAGTGTGTCCAAATCTGGGTGCCATTGGGTCTAAGTTAATCATAGGTTCCTGGGAGAAGCTTCCTTTAAAAGTGAATAAATATCTGCTATGTAGGCCATGTAGTATAATGGGCAAGATTGTGGGTTTGAATCCTGGCTCTGAAACTTATTACTGCATTACATGGAAGCTGTATGACATTGGGCAAACTTCCTAGCTGTCCAAATCACTATTTTCTCATTTATAAAAAATAAATAAATAAATAAATAAATACAATGAAACTTACCTCTTAAGGGGTTTTGAGACTTAAAAGAGAAAGCATCTGTAGAGTATTTGACAGACATAGTAAGGATCTAATACTTGGAAACCACTGTTGTTGTTGTTGTTGTTGTTGTTGTTATTCCTCCTCTTTCTGAAATAACCCTTACTTATGTGTGCATACCCACCCCATTCTCAGACACATGATAGAAAGTCTGTAAATACCTTTAGAATGACCAAATGATAGAGATTACTCAAATACATATTAAGATATATAATTTTACATGTTGTTGAAATAAATTTACATCCTTATTAGAAAAAAAATATGGCCCCTTCGAAATATGAGTTGGTTTCCCCCTCTGTCTCCACACGCCATGCCCTTGGGGCCCATTTCCATATCCTCAGTACTTCTACACAAACACAAGCCTTCCTGTTTGGAGCAGCAATACAATGGCAAGATGGTTGGGCCTTGGACGGGGGCCTTTCCGGCCTGTTGCATGCTTCCCCAAGGGGGCTATAATTTCTGCTCTGGGCCAGGACATTGACCTCAACTTACGTCTGCCCAGCAGGTAAGGGGAGTCAAGGTCAGCATCAGGTTCCTGATGGCCAGTGCCAGGCTTTTCTCCAACCTAAACAGGAATGACAGGAGCACTGGCAAAGGTGTAGGAATGTAAGGTGGCACAAGTAAACACAGGGGCACAAAATCACTACGTTGTGAAACCATCTCCAAGGCCACTGTCATGTTACATTTCATTCAGGAAAAGTACTAGGCCTTGAAGTGGGAGAGAAAAGCTCTGGTTCATCTGGGGAAAGAAATACTGGAAGCGGGTTGTTTTTCTCTGTGGGATCTCAGTTAGGATGATAAGCTTCAAAGAGATTAAGAGACACTTTGGCAGCAGTTCTCAAAACTTAATGTGCTTAAGAGTCACCTGGAGGTTCATTAGACATGTGAGAAAGCCTCGGTTGGAAGTGGAAGATGAAGACAAAAGAAACCAAAGGAAAAAGCAAATCTGATGCAAGTTGAGATGAAAAACAATAACAACAACAATGTCCTCTGAGAGACAACAGAAATTTTTTTGCTCCCATGAAACGTGAACAGGGTGCTGTAAAAAGGAATGTTCGGCAAATAAATCAATTTTTAAAAGTTCTTAGAAATTAAAAAATAATAATGTAAATGAAAAGCTCAGCAAAAAGACTCAAGGCTAGAGCTATGGAAATTTTTTAGAAAAAAAAATAGAGCAAAAAATGAGAGCAAGAGAGATATTTTTATAGAAAAAAATTTTTTTTTAAAAAAAAAAAGGACATTTACCCAAATGAGTTGAAAACTTATGTCCATACAAAAACCTGCACACAGGTGACATCAGTAGTTTTATTCATAATTGACAAAACTTGAAAGCAACCAAGATGCCCTTCAGCAGGTGAATGGAGAAACAGACAATCCAGACAATAGAATATTATTATTCAGCACTAAAAAGCAATGAGCTATCAAGCCATGAAAAGACATGGAGGAAACTGAAATGCATATTGCTAAGTGAAAGAAGCCAATCTGAGAAGCAGACATACTATACGATTCCAACTGTATGATATTCTAGTAAAGGCAAAACTATGGCGACAGTAAACAGATCAGTGGTCGCTAAGGGTTAGAAGGGAGGGGAGACATGAATAGGTGGAGCACAGAGGATTTTTAGGGCAGTGAAACTACTCTGTATGATTCTATAATAGTGGATATGTGTCATTACGTATTTGTCCAAATCCATTCACTGTACAACACCAAGCGTGAATCCTAATGTAAACTACGAACTTTCGGAGATGGTGTGTCAATGTAGGTTCATTGGTTGTAATAAGTGTTCCTGTGGTGCCCCAGGATGATAGTGGGGAAGCTGTGTATATGTGGGAACAAGCAGTATATATGGGAACTCTGTATTTCCCACTCCATTTTGCTGTGAACCTGAAACTGCTCTAAAAAATAAAGTCTATTAAAAAGGGAGAGGGAGAGAGAAGAAAGAGCACAGTGTAGGAAGTCCAACATCCAAATAACAGAAGTTTCAAACAAGAGAACACAGAAAAGAGAGAGGAGGAAGTAAACAAAGTAATTCTAGAACAGAAGAACACGAGCTGCTAGACTGAAAGGGCCCAGCAAACCTGGCAAAATAAAGAAAACAGACTCACATCCAGGCACATCTTTGTGATCTTTCAGAACAGTAGAGAAAATGAGAAGCTCCTACAAGCTTCCAGAAAGCAAGAACCAGTCCCATTCAAGGGATCAGGGATAAGAAAGAATCACCTCAGACATCTCTGCAGCAACCTTAATAGTAAGCAGAATTGTTCATTGTCGTGAACGATAACTATTTCCAACTTAGAATTCTATACCCAGATAAATAATCAGGTATGCAGGGTAGAATAAACACATATATTGACATGCAAGGACTGAAAAATGTCTCTCATGTACCCTTGCCCTAAAAGTTGCTGACAGATGTGCTCCACACACACAAAAAAAAGAATTCACCAAGAAAGGGGAAGCCACAGGACCCAGGAAACAGATGCTGCAAACAGGAGGGTGATGAAGGGAAATCCCAGGATGACTGCTATGCTCCGACATACATAGGTGGCTTAGATTGGCACAAGGTGCCATCTGCATATGATGTGCAGATACACTGAGGACAGACTGTATGGGTGAGCCTGGGACAGATAACTTGTATTTTGTTTATCTTGACAACCAAGAGCTGAGGAGGTTCCCGCTTTGCCAGCCCTGGTGCATATTGCCTGGATCAACGGAAGATACTCATTTCTCCCTGAGGAGTGTGGCATGTTAACCTTTTTCTAAGAACTTAACGGAGGTGCTAATGAGCTAAGGAGGGAAAAAAGAAAGCAGCCCCTACCCCAGCCATGTTTTTGCCTGATGTTCAAAACTACAGCCTGGCCCATTTGTTCCCACTGTGACTGGCAATCAGTGACGGAGCCCACTGATTCCCCCAGGTGAGATCTTCTCCCAGAAGCTGGATCTGGACTCTGTCCCAGACCCCACTCAGCTTATCTCCTCCACCGAGCCTTCATATATTAGTAGCTGCACTGCTATTTCCTGACAGGGCCAGGTTTGGGCTTGTTTTTCTAAGAAACACTATATTGTTTAGGGATGTTTTCGGGGTGGGTAAAACTATAAAGCAAAGCAAGGGAATAAAGAACACAAAAATTAGGATAGTACAATAGTTTCCTGACAGGGCAGTAAGGGGGGCCATCAGGTAGGTACAGGAGAGGTTCGCAATGTACTTTTTTTTGTAATAACTTATTTATTAACAGCACAATGTTTTTGCTTTCACCCACATGCTAATTATGATATTCTTAGTGAGTGGCAATGTGATTAAATGTGTTTCATTATTTTTGAAAAATCTTGATGAACGCTTGGATGCAGCAATTCAGGAGCCTTGTTCTGAGTTCATTTTCTCTTCATGCTTGGTTTCATGGTTTTGGTAACTAAAAAGACATTTCAGAAAGCTGTGTGGACCCAAATGGAGACTGGGCATCACAAAATCATGTGCGCCTTTTCCAGTTCCATCTACAATTATGCAAAGGTTTCTGTTGAAGTCGGGCCAGCCAGGGCCAATCTTCCCTGGTGGCTATCAGAGTTCTTGCTCACTGAGTGGAAAGAGTTGCAATTTTTAGTTTTCAACTAGTAGGGTCAAAACCCGCAAAACTGGATATGACAGACAGGTACACCAGCGAGGAGGGTGACATCTCAAGCAGCTACTGCGACCCCGTCTGTGAAAACACCAGCTCCAATTCAAAGGAAAACTTGCTCTGAAAAACACAACTACACATGGACACTCACACACCACAGCCCCATAGAGTACTGATTTTCAAAATGCTCAGAGCCCTTCCAGAACTTGCCTGAGAGGTGATGTCATTGTCGTTTGTTCCTGGCTACCTTGATGGCCCAGCCTTATCCATCCCTGCTTTGCAAGGCCTTCTGGGCCCAAAAAAGGAATAACTATTCTGCTTCAGTTGAGACAGGAGAGAACCATATAGGTCACTGCCTGGATTTCCTGGAAGCTCTGCCTCCCCACCCCCGACCCCCCCACAAGAATTTGCCTAGGAACATCCTGAAGCTTATTTGTGAGCCAACAAGGCACCATCAAGTTATCTGAAAAGCAGTATCAAATCACCTTTTTAAAAGGCACCAATTTTAAAGGTACAATTTAATGTGTACAATTCAAAGGTACAATTTAATGGCAAATATGTACACCTGTCTAACCAGACTTAGAGTCTTCCAAAATATATCATTAACCCATAATTAACTCATAATCCCACTTTTTAGAAGTATATTCTTTTGTTACCTTCTTAAATTTATACTAAGTTAAGGGCTCTACCTCAACTAGGCTTCATAAAAGACAACAACATTTCCAGATACAATACAGGCTACCAGAGCGAAAGAGCGACTAGAGATTTCACCTAACCCTCCCGTGTTACGAAGGAGGAACCTGAGGCCCAGAGAGGGAACCGACAAGCACAGGAGGACAGAGATGTGTGAAGGCCAGGATCTGATCCCAGGCCTCACAATGCCACTTAACGCTCTTCCCATTTCAACACACTCCCCCCCCCCAATCTTCACAATGCAGATTGTTAAACACTTTAGCATCACTACTTAAAATGTGGTCGGGGAAAACCAGTAATATCAGCATCCCTTGACCGCTTGTTAGAAAGGCAGACTCTCAAGGCCTCTTCCCCAAGAAAGGGAATCAGAATCTGCATTTCAACAAGATTGCCAGGGCAAGTTTCTTAGAGCAATAACAAAAGAGAAAGCCTCTCTTTGATGGCTTAATTTAGATTTAAGGTAACTTGGATGACCAAATTAACAGTGATCTCAGTCCCAACATTGGCTTTGTGACAGAGCATGGTTCTCAACTGCTCCATGCCTGGGTTTTCCTCATCTGTGAAGTGGGAATGGTAAACTCGGCATGGTGCCTAGCAAGTACAAAGATGGAACCTGGGGCGCAGTATAAACAAGGCTAATAAATGCTTCTTGTTAGGTGGCATGTTTCAACAGATCTGGAGCTGTGAGAGCTGGGACTCCTTGCACTGCGCTTGGCACATAGTAAGACCTCAGCCAGTATGAGTTTAATAAACAACTAGCAAAAACGCAGGTGACATATATTAATTTTTGACTTGGATTGTCCTATTCTATTAGCACAGAACACTCTCAAGACTGCCAGTTTTCTCCCTTCCAACATTCAAAACACTGCCAGCTCCCACCTCCACCACCAGACAGTGTGGAGGAGAGGTTGAAGGTCATAGGTAATCTTAACTCATACTGTAAATCATTCATACTAGAACTTTCTATGGTTGCAGACTTGACGAGGCTCAACCATCCATCCTCTCCAACGCCCCCACCTTCTTGTTACTCCGCCCACCGTTCTCCCTAAGCCAAACCCGCGGGGTCCCGCCCCTTCCGTCCAGCCCCACCCTCTTCCCAAGGCCCCGCCCCCTCAGGCCTATGGCCGTCGCATCCCACCTCACACCTCGGCCCGACCCCCGGGCTAGCGCCGCAGGCCTCGGAGCGCTTGCTGACTCGCTCGGCCTCATCGCTGGTGTCGGCGCCTCTGGCAAGCCGGCAATCGGGCTCCTGCGCGCGGCGGCGCCTGGGCANCGTTCTCCCTAAGCCAAACCCGCGGGGTCCCGCCCCTTCCGTCCAGCCCCACCCTCTTCCCAAGGCCCCGCCCCCTCAGGCCTATGGCCGTCGCACCGCCCCTCTCCCCCCGCCCCAACCCGCGGCCCGTGCCTAAGCGACTCGGAGCGCTTGCTGACTCGCTCGGCCTCATCGCTGGTGTCGGCGCCTCTGGCAAGCCGGCAATCGGGCTCCTGCGCGCGGCGGCGCCTGGGCAGGAGGGCGGCCCGACGCCTGGCGCCCGGAACCGCGACTCCGCCCTGCGCGAGAAAGGACCCCAGGGGCGGGCGGGGCCGGGGCGAAGGTCGCCGAGGCTTCTCCAAGAGACAGGGGCGCTGGGCGGCGCGGCTGGCGGGAGGGCGAGAGGGGGGCCTGCCGGGGGCCGCACGCCCAGAGCGGCTGGATGCATCCATTGGCGTCCCCGCGGGGAGTGCGGGGCCTGAGCTAACGGTTACGGACGCCATCCGGCGCCGCGCGGCCCACGTGCGCCATCGCGCCCGGAGCCCCTGGCCTTCCGCGGAGGGCAGCCGGCAGATTTTTACCGCGCCCTGCGTTGTGGCAGGCAAGGTGAGTAGGCGGCGGCTGGGGACGGAGGAGGAGGGAGGGGACCGACCGTGACCGCGCTGGGCACCACCCCCTCGGCGCGACGGCTCCGCAGGCCGGGCGAACCGGAGGCTCTGAGGTCCGGCCGCGAGGAGGCTAATGCTCCTGCTCCCCCTGGCAGAGAGCTGAGCTGACCGCGCTCTGGGTATCCCCTGAAATCCGGAAGGAGGTCGGGGCTGGCACAGCGAGCCCGCGGTGGACCCCGCCTGTGTCTCTCTCCTACCCAGGAATCGTGCTTGGAGAAGATGGAAGAGGAGAAGCGGCCGCAGCCCTCCGAGGGCCTGTTTGCGGACGGGCAACTGGTCCTATGGACACTGTGCTCGGTGCTGCTGCCCGTGTTTATCACCTTCTGGTGCAGCCTTCAGCGTTCGCGCCGGCAGCTGCACCGCAGGGACATTTTTCGCAAGAGCAAGCACGGGTGGCGCGACACGGACCTGTTTAGCCATCCTACCTACTGCTGCGTGTGCACACAGCACATCCTGCAGGGCGCCTTCTGCGACTGCTGCGGGCTGCGCGTGGACGAGGGCTGCCTCAAGAAGGCCGACAAGCGCTTCCAGTGCAAGGAGATCATGCTCAAGAATGACGGCAGGGCCTTGGACGCCATGCCCCACCACTGGATCCCGGGCAACGTTCCCCTGTGCAGCTACTGTGTGGTTTGCAAGCAGCAGTGCGGCAGCCAGCCCAAGCTCTGCGATTACAGGTATGACCTTTGTGGGTGCTGATTGTCCCACGATGCGTGGTAAGAGTCAGGACTTAATGGCGTGGGTGTAAAGGCCAGCTTTGATCTCTGCAAATGGCCTTAACTTCCCACTTGGCAGAAACAAGCTAATAAACATCACTGGTATTGTACAAGCAGGGCAGCTTTGCAAGTCATATGCCGAGGTGGTGCATCTAGCCTCACTCCTCAGCCATCCTGCCCTTTTGTCTGCTGTTTTGTAGGCTCTTAACTTTCAAACAGAGGTCTCTAAGTGCTGCATATTTCATGGCCACTGTATGTTGTAGTTTAGCTTTTGTTGCTGCTGTTGATTATCTCTATTTTACAGAAGGAAAAATTAGCTATGGACAAATTAACTTTTCCCTACAGTCGCAAAAATTATTCACCCTCAGTGTTATATTAGGAATGTACAAGGAAAACAAGTGTCATTCCAAAGCAGCGCTAATTTTAGTACCTTTTTGGAATATAGGTATTGGTGCTATAGTGAAGTATTACACTGAAAGGGACATGTAGCATCTTAGACAAATGATTTTGATTAAGCCAAGAATATTTTAAAGGCTTTTAAATACACACTGGACAACACATTTATGTTTTTAAATCTTGTCTGAAAACAGGTGAAGATGTCTTTTGCTTGTGTTAGAGATTGATAATAAAAGGGAGTGATGCTGCTTTGTAGATCATCTATCCTAACTCATTTTACAGTTGAGAGAATTTGACTCAGTGGTAAAATAGAACAGGCATCCAAGAATTCTAATCCCCAGGACAGGGTTAGGAATACTATTAACACTTAGCCTTGTCTCGGCCCTAAATCTGGATATCTTTATTGTTATGGGTTTTATTTCTGACAAGTAGAAAGGCTCATAAACATGCTTAACAACTGAAATAGAAAGCTGGCACTAGATAGCAAGTTACTTTTTTTGTCTGGTTTTTTTTTATGTTTTGTTTTTTTATTTTTTTTTATTTTTTAAAGATTTTTATTGGGGAATTGGGGGAGGGGACCAGCCAAGTTGTTGTTCTTCAATCTTCATTGTGGAGGGCGCCGGGCGCCATCTGGCTTCCTGTTGACAGCTCGTGGCCTTTAAGCTCAAGGTGCTGTGTTCAATCTTAGTTGCAGGTGGGCGTAGCCACCATCTGTTGTGAGAGTCGAACCAGCAGCCTTGTTAAGAGCGCACGCTCTATCCACTGAGCCATCCGGGTGGCAGCTCAGTTCAAGGTGCTGAGTTCAGTCTTAGTTTCCAGTGGACATAGCCCATCATTGAACAAACAATCTTGTTACACCAGCTGAGCCATCCAGCCACCTGTTGGCAGCTCAGCAACAGCTCAGCTCAGGCGCAGTGTCACTGGCCCATGTGGGAATAGAACCGGCGGCACTGTTACTCAGAGCTCACGCTCTTAAGCCAACTCTTAACCAACTGAGCCACTTGACCGGTCCTATGTTTTGTTTTGTTTTAAATTAGCTTGAGCACTGTTGGGTCAATACCTCTCTTTAAATCTTATTTTAAATAGTTTTACACATCAGATTTAGACTTAAGAAAACTTTTCCAAAAAATACATTTTAACCAACTACAGAGTTTTGTGACCATTCATTTTTATTTGGTCTCTGAAATTTAGATGTTGTCCCTTTAGCATGACTGAGTGAGAGCCAGGTTACCAATTTCATAATTCCCTGTAGGTAAGCGTTAGTCTTCAAGAGTTGGGATTGTTAGAAACAAGACATGAATTGAGTATGTTTTATTTCCTTCCCTTCTTTCTGTCTGCAGAATTGGATAAAAATGGCTTTCATAAATATCTTAATTGCATTTCACATACTCCTTAACAAATAATCATAGTGCTCTGATCCTCCACACCAATGATCTTCCTAGAAATTCATATTCGATGGAGTCCCTGCTCTACTTAAAACCCTTCAATTGCTCCCATCACGTACACTGATTGTCTTTCATTGTAAACTCCAAGTGCTTAACACAGTACATGCCTGCCCCCCAGTCTTACCTACTACCACCCACATTAAACTTTGTATACCAGCAACATCAGGCTGGCTGTGGTTTCCTTAAAATACCAGGCTTTTTCTTACTGTCCTTTTTCTCGAGGCTTTCCTCTCTGTCATAAGTATCCTTCTCCTGGCTAGCTTCTAGGATTCCTTAAAGACTCATCTCGTGCCCTTCCCTCTGGGAACCCTTGCCTGATCTACTCACCCCGCCCCCCCATTTTTCCTTCTTGATGATGACGTAATATCCTGTTTCTAGGAGGTTCTCATAGTAAGGTCCCCAAACCACCAACATCTGCATCATTTTGAAACTTGTTAGAAATGTAAATTCTAAGGTTTCCAGATTCAGCAAACAAAATAAAATAAAAATAAAATTTTTGCTATATTTGGGACATACTTATACCAAAACATTATTTGTTATCTGAAATTCAAATTTAACTGAGTATCTTCTGTTTTTCCTGGCAACCCTAGTCCCACCCCAGACCCACTGAATCAGAAACTTGGGCTGGGAACTAGCCATCTTTAATAGGCCTTGCAGGTCATTCTAAAGTTGGAGAACCGTTGCTATATTTATGTAGCTTTTTAAACATGAGCCTCTGTTCTTAATTTTGTGTCCTCCCCCTTTGAGCACAGTGAATGTTTGTGATGATAGATCTCCTTTTCCTTATTAGCTTGTTCTTACTGGTTACTAAGCAGTATGTTCCCAGCATGCTAGAATCCCTCTCCCGTGGTAGAAATTATCTCTGTTTAATTTAGGAAGTGTGCATTATTCCCAGGAGAGAAGAGCACAGTGTCCTGAAGTGGTACATATTCTGCAATGTTCTGATTTATTTTAGCCATTAATTTTATTCAGTATTACAATCTGTAGGAATAAAATATTTTAGAAAGAGAAACAAGATAAATACCTATTTAGAACTATTAAACACAGACCAGACTGTCTCTCTCTCTGGATTTTATCAAGCATGGGGGCAGGGGGGTCCCTAAGTCTGAGATTTTAAATGAATTATGAAGACTGTTCAACAAGTCAGCATTTCAAAGGGCGGTCATGACAGGTGATACCCGATTTTAAAGTCTGTAGCCCAGTTAAACTCTACAGATGAGTGACAAAGGCCTTTTAATTAATACTCAATCAATCATGAGTTTTCACATATTAAGCATCTATTTTGTGCCAGACACTGTGCGGGATTCTGCTTTTCCTGTAGATTGGTGTGTGTGTGTGTGTGTGTGTGTGTGTGTGTGTGTGTGTGTGTGTGTGTGTGTTTCTGCCTCTACTCCCAACCATTACAAAATATTATACTTCTGCACCTATTGTGTTATCACCTTTTCCTTATTATACTTCCTTTTATTCATCTTAACTAAAAGAGGAAATTCAGTTATATTTTTAAGTATTCATTACATTTATTAAATAAACCTTTGTTCCTTATAGTGTTCTGTCTCATTAAGAAAACTTAAGGTGCCTTTTTATTTATAAAGCCTTTGTTCATCACATTCTACTCCATACACACACACACACACACACACAGTGATTAACAAAGCTTCGGACTCTTAGAAGGTAATTACATTGGCAGCTTTGGTCTTGGCTTTGATCTTCAATTTTATATTTCTGTGTTCTTTTGGTATGTGTTTATTCATTTCATTAATTATCTGAAATGCTGAAAGATAGCAAATCATCTAGAGCTGAGATAGGCAAACATTTTCCTGTAAAAAGTCAAAACTAAGGATCAATGTTTTAGGCCTTTTTTGCAGACCATATGGTCTGTCATAATAGTACTTAACTCTACCGTCAATCGTAGTACAAAACTGGCCAGAGACAATACATAAATGAATGGGTGTAGCTCTAGTCCAATAAAACTTGATTCACAAAAGCAGGCAGCAAATATATACATAGTTTGTTAACCCCTTTTCTAGTGTGAATTTAATAAATGATCATCTCAACTTCTCATATAATTCTCTGCTGCTTCTCGCATACTAAAGAAGGAGCTCTGAAAAAATTAAAAAAAGAAATAAAGAAGAGGGCTCTGGTGAACAGGTGACTGTAGAGAAAATACTAAGCAGTGTTGCCAGCAGTTTGTTTTTTTCTTACCTCCTTATGAAGCTTTTTTTTTTTTAAAGAGTTGTGGGGTTTTTTTAAAGATTTTTATTGGGGAATTGGGGGGATGGGAACAGCGCTGGGGAATTGGGGGAAGGGGAACAGACAAGTTGCTGTCCTTTT